CGTTTCCAGCGTTTCATTTTGGTGGATGTCCAATCCTTCCCAAACTTCCTTAACACCCTTGACCCTTTCCGGGGGTTTTTTACCCCTTTTTTTGTTTGCCCCATTTCCCCTCCCATATTTTTTTGGGCAACTTTTCTTTTCCCTTCCCGCACATGGGGTACTCCCATTTCAGTTTCCTTAGGTTTTTTCCCGCCCGTAGGGATGGGTTCCCCAATTTTCCCCTGACTGCGCCATTATTTGTGCGCTGGGACCTTCTTAGGATGATTTTCGCGGTTTTCTTTTGCGCCCCCTGGAGTTTTTTCACTCCTTTTTTATTTCTTTCCCATATTTTTCGGGCGTACCCCAGGGGGGGTAGATTTCCTTTTTTAAAAGCCGGGGGGGGGGGGGGGGCGTTTCAAGGGGTGTCCTCAAGAGCTTGTTTCGCTTTCAATTCTCTTGGTGCCACCGCTTGCTGCTGAGAGGAGGAAATGTTTTTTGTGTTTGAGTCGACGGAAGATGTTCATACCTTTCGTTTGAGAGGGTGCGTTGTTTTTTTGTGTTTGAGTTTACGGAAGATGTTCATACCTTTCGTACGAGAGAGTGCGTTGTTTTTGTGTTTGAGTCGACGAAAGATTTTCATACCCTGCGTACGAGAGAGTGCATTGTTTTTATGTTCGAGTCGGCGAAAGAGGTAAAAACCGCCGCAGGAGAGGGCCATAGTACCGGCAGATGACCTGCCTCTTTTTTTTCGGGCAGGGAGAGTGAGTCCAACTAGGCTTTTTGTTTTATGGACGATTCCGTGAAGATTTATTGGGGGGGGGGGGGGTTCTGCAGGACACGTGTAAAACAGGAGACCGATTAGGCAGTGCTGCCGATGGCCCTCCATCCCCCGTCCCCTCCCCCGGACTGCCTAAGCTTGTTACGAAAAAAGATCACGCAGACCGTATAACCCAAACCCAACTTGAGCCGATTCTATACTTTATCCAACATGTTTTCTTCCTTAGAAAATCCTTCGTAGACTACCGCGTCCCCCCCGCCCGACTCGAAAACCGAGCACAACACGTGTGTCTCACGAAACCCCCTTTTTGCCGCTCGATTAGGTATCGGATCGACCTGATGAAGGACCCCACTCGGCAGATGCTGCGGCTGCGGTCCATGTACGCTGAGCAGGAGTCCGACTGCCTCGTGTTCCAGCAGAAGCCCCAGAGCGAGGGGGGTGGGCTGGAGCTAGTGGAGACGCCTCTCGCCGTGCAGCACATGGACAAGGTAAACAAACCGATCGGGACCATCCAGCACGGTAGGTGACACGGCGTAAGATAGCACGTCCCCCGGACTGATTTTCAAACCTCGATTACCCCTTCCACGACGAAGAGGATGCATGAATGAAACGCTTTCGACAACATCTCGAAGAGACGGTTTCAATGACGGCGTTTTTTTCGGCGTTGCCACTCTTTGTGCTGTGGAGAAATGGAGCTTTGAAGACCGGTCCGGGGGTGTGGTATCTTGGGTGATGTCACCTACGGTAGCTAGCCTGGTGCTTGCTTTCTTCGGCTTGAGGGGACGCGTGTTGTGACGTCAGGGGCAGGTTGGTGCTTGGCACGCGGAAAAGAGGATTGTTGAGCAAGAGAATGAACGAATAGTTAATTATGTGTGATGCATGCTGTGTGCAGCTCCTTGTAGGCGAGGGGGGGGAGGGATCTGAAGTTGGAAACCTAAATATTTGCTTGGGCGAGAGCACGGTAGGCAAGGTGACGTAATAGTAACTCACACGTCCCGTCGCTGCTATTACACCTCATTACACCCTGGATGCCCAATCAAACCGTGGCATATATTATCTTTGCACAGCAAACGCAGGCATGGCGACCAGCTTCTGCTTCATCCTTGCAGTATGTAGCCTGGGCCGACGAAAACCCGGCATATCCCTCCGTCCCGGCATTGTAGGGATGTGAGGTCTATGGTCTACCGACTACGGCATGCGTTTGCATAAGTATACCCCCCCCCCCCCCCCCCCCCCGTGAGTTCGCGAAATGGCCAGCCACATGAATGTTGTACTTCGATCTTCGGAGAGGTGAACAAACCCGTTGCTGTTCTTTCAGAACGTCAAACAAAAAGGCACCTGGTTACAACTACAG